CTTGGAAACTGCAGTAAGGCATAGGTCGATGCATGTTTACTGAGCATTTATTAGGAGCCAGGCACTGTAATAGGCGTGAGGGGACAGAGATGACTAAGGTAGAGTTATCCCTAAGAGTCTGGGTGAATCTCTGCATGCCTGGAACTGTCCGTCTTGGTCAGGGACCCACCTCCTCTTCCTGGAGCCTGTCTGACCCACTTTGTACCCTGGATCCAGTGCCCTTCCCTCCTCAGACTGAACTTCTTCCATAAAACAAGCTTAACTGCGCTTGTCATCTGGTGATGGGGCTCTTTGAGCTCCCAGGATGAAAGGTTCTGTAAATACGGAGCCTTGTCACCAGACTGGGTGGGGTAGAAAAGGGAGCCCACATCAGATCCCTGAGGACGCAGAGAAACAGCCCCTGTGAGCTGGAAGTGGGGTCACCAGGCTCCTCTGAGGTTACCAACTCCTGAGAGCTGTCAAGCATTTTCTGCAATCAGGAAACCTCACATGAAAGTCTTCCATTTCCGCCAAGGTCAGCCTGTGATGGTTAAATGACAGACGCTGACACCCTGACTGCTGACTGATGCTGACAGGAGGGAGGAGTGGAGGTGGCCTTAGTTGCAGGGAGGTGACTGGAGGCTATTCCCTCACTCATGGGACACAAACCTACTGAGCAACCACTAAGGTCCTGTCACTGTCCACGTGTTCGTGGGGGAGGAGACAGGTACACAGTTCATTCCACCACAATGTGGGGTGCACCAGAGGAAGCCCACCTGTGTCCAGGACGGACCAGGGACCCAACCTCCTCCCTTCTCCTTCCAAACCACAGTGGCAAAAGCCCTTTGTGACTGAGCAGGACTTGAAGGTCCCCCGTGTTCCTTTATTCACTTGACCTCACACATGAGGAAGCAAAGGCCAGAAAGCCTTGTGGGCTTATCCACAGTCACAGACCCCATTGGTGCAGCAGACAGGACAGTTATAATTATCCCCATGCCTTGTCTTGTGCCTGCATCACTCCAATGATCACACTGTCCTCTCCTCTTCTCTTCTGCCTCCCTCTTAAAAGGATTCTTCTGTTGCATTTAGAGCCCACCCGACTAACCCAGGATAATCTCATTTCAAAATCTTTCATCACATCTGCAAAATCTTTCCATTTAGGTAACATTCACAGATTCCAGGAATTGGTACCTATTCCTGTAGGGACCATTATTCTACCTTCTTCAGGCCTACAGAGGCAGCACAGTTTAAGAGACACCTCAGCACACCTTTCTGCCAGAACCCTCGGGGAGGAGGCAGGCTCAGCAATGGAGGCCACGGGATGTGGAGACTCCACTAGGAGAAGTGGCTAGGGCAGAACTGGGGAGCTAAAAATCCCCATGAAGAGGAAGAGTCAAGAGAGAGCCCCTCCCCTATCTAGAGGTTGCCCCTAAATCTGATTTGAGTTCCCTTTGCACTCCTACATTCAGCAGATGCTTGGACAAGAGCAGACCCTGTACCAGGCCCTGGTGAGTAGCCCGTGTCACCAGGGAGCCTACAGTCTAAACCCAGAAGCAACACTGACCAGCACCATTGTCTCCAAGATGCTGTAAGGGCAAGTGACACCCCTTTTCCAGGTGGGGCAATGGAAGCCCAGGAAGGAGGTCTGCTTCTGTCTGGAGTTGAGCTGAAGCCAATTAATTTAGCATGAGGGTTTTGCACTTCCCCAAGCCCCTCCCCCCAGTGCCTTCCTGTGCCTGCCTCAGTGATTTTGTAATTTCTTGCCTTGTTTCCTCTCTGCACTTCTAAAGTGAAATAGCGAGACTGTTTCATCTTGCCTTAGAAGAGCTTGCACAAGAAGTGACTCATCCCAAACTGTGCACCTGCTGTGTCTGTATCATTGGCAATGGGGAGTCAGGAACAGGACCCCTGGGGTGAGGCGGCATTTGACTCAAATTCTGAACACTTACTTCAAGTTTGTGTAAAGCAGAAGTAGCCAGCCCCTGTCTTCTTGCAGCACAACTGTGGCCAGCTCCCTCCTTAAAACAAAGAAGAGCTGTCAGGAAACTTGGGTACTCGGGTACAGACTGGGGAGTGGCAGAACCTCCAGGCTTGTTGGAACCCCCAAATTAACCCCATGTTGGGAGAACATGGTCTTGAATGAGGAAAGAATCTCCTCATCTGTTTTGCTTTTAACTGAGCAGCTTTAAGCAAGTCACTTAAAACTTCTATGAACCTGCTTCCTTGTCTGTAAAATGGGTGCAGAAAGGGCTAAGAGGGCAAAGACGCAAGTGCCTGGCATTCAGCAAGTCTTCAACAGATTACCGAGAGTCCACCAAAGGCGAACAGCGCTACTCTCCGGGCGGACTCCCGCTTTTCCCCCCGGCCATCCTCG